GAATTTCTGAATTTCTGAATTTTTGAATTTCTGAATTTCTGAATTTCTGAAGTTCTGAATTTCTGAATTTCTGAATTTCTGAATTTCTGAATTTCTGAATTTCTGAATTTCTGAATTTCTGAATTTCTGAATTTCTGAATTTCTGAATTTCTGAATTTCTGAATTTCTGAATTTCTGAATTTCTGAATTTCTGAATTTCTGAATTTCTGAATTTCTGAATTTCTGAATTTCTGAATTTCTGAATTTCTGAATTTCTGAATTTCTGAATTTCTGAATTTCTGAATTTCTGAATTTCTGAATTTCTGAATTTCTGAATTTCTGAACTTTTAAAATTTTCAAATTTTCAGGGACTGATGCTAGGAGGAGCATTCGAGAAGCGACCACTGAATCAGCTTAAAAATTCTGGTAAGTTTGATTTTTTGATTTTCAGAATTTTCAGAGAAAAATCCAAAATTCTCTGAAATTTGCAGACTCTCCAACATCAAAAAACACCATCAATGTGGAAGCAGAAGTGGCTGAAATTTTGGCAAATTTCGCATTAAATGCCAAGAAAAATGGGAATTCTCGAAATGCTGGAAATGGAGAAAATGGAGAGTCCCAGCAAAGTGGAGAAAAACGAGTTTGTCAATCGTGTATGGACATTCGACATTTATACAATTCGACGAGAAATGAGTTTGTTCAATTGGGAGAAAAAATCAGAGAAATCGGACCAATCGAAATGGGTATGAAGGAATTGGCTGGATCCATTCAGGCATTCGATCGAGAAATTGAGAGATTGAGACAACTGGAGAGGTACAGTAATCTTTTTTGGGACTGTAGTATATTTTTCTATTTACAATAATCCTTCATGATAATCTCTTAAGTCAAGAAAATCCTTGAAGCAAGTTATTGTAATTTTTCATTACTATAGTAAGCCCTTAAGACTACGGTACTCTAAACTATAGTAACTCTTAAAGTTAATCTTTACGATAATTCCTCATGCCAAGGAAACCTTTCAAGCGTGTTACCGTAATCCTTCATGAAAACAGTAATTTTTTATCTAACTACAATACTTCCATTATCACTACAGTATCCCTTCGGTAACACTTCACGGTAATCTCTGAAGTTAAAGTAATCATTCAAGCAAGTTAGTGATTTGTCATAAGTACAGTAATCCCAAACTTTTAAAGTCAAAGTACGTTAAGATTACATTAATCTTTGATATTGCAGTAATCCTATACTGTTATCTACCAAGTTAAGGAAATCCTTCAAACAAGTTACAGTAATCCTTTCAAAACTACAAAAAACCTTCAACGTACAGTAACCGGTTGTGTTACAACAATCTTTCAAACTACAGTAACCCTTATGACTATTGTAATCCCATTCTTTTTCAGCGAACTCTCAACTCCACGAAAACCGGTGCCCAAAAAGAAGATACAAGAAGAAATTGAAAGATGGAATTGCAAGAATGATGGGTGAGTTTATTCTCAATTTCTGAATTTTCTGAAAATTTCGGGATTACTGTAGCACAATTTTCCTGTTTTTTCTAGGTTCGTCACTAACATCAGTTTCTACGATAACAATTCCCAGGAATTCCTCCGTGGAAATGCAACATTAAGGGAGCAGTATGAAAAGTGGGTTACTGTAGGACATCTGGACAAATGGAAATTCATGTGTCCGGACGTCCAGATGTCCGCAGACGTTTTTGAATTGCATTCTAAATTTTCAGCATAATGAAAATGAACGAAAACCTGGAGCAGCAAATTTTGACACACGAAAGGCAGAGCAGGTGGGATTTTGGAATTTTAGAATTTTAGAATTTTCGAATTTTGAAATTTTCGAATTTTCGAATTTTAGAATTTTAGAACTTTCTGGAATTTTAGAATTTTCTGGAGTTTTCTGGAATTTTAGAATTTTCTGGAGTTTTAGAATTTTCTGGAATTTTAGAATTTTCTGGAATTTTAGAATTTTCTGGAATTTTAGAATTTTCTGGAATTTTAGAATTTTCTGGAATTTCTGAATTTTTGAATTTCTGAATTTCTGAATTTTAGAATTTCTGAATTTTAGAATTTTTGAATTTTCGAATTTTTGAATTTTCGAATTTTCGAATTTTCGAATTTTCGAATTTTCGAATTTTAGAATTTCTGAAATTTTAGAATTTTCAGAATTTCTAAAATTATTTCAACTTCTGAATTTTTCCAATTTTCAGCCAAATTTCGTCATTTTCTGCAACAATTTTTGAGCTTCAAGCCAAGGAGCACGATAAAGAAATTGCTCGGTGAGTTTTATTTGGAAATTTGCAAAAAAGTTTTTTTTTTTAATTCCAAAATTTTCCATTTTGAAATTCAAGAAAAAATCATTTTCAGACTCGAAAAATCCATTGAGGACCTTGAAATGAGGAGCGATGAGCAGAAGAGCATTTTGAAGAAGGATTTTCAGAAAAATGGAATTTCAGTTGAAGCTGAGTAATCCCAATTTCGAAATCTTGGATTCCTGAAAATCGGAAAATCTGAAATTTTCAAAAAATTCCAAATTTTTCCGAATCGTCTAGATCATTTTTTTTTCATTTTTTTTTCTTTTTTTTCGTCAGCTAGATTTATTTTTTTCCTTCTAGTTACTGTAGATTTTTTTTGATTTGGTTTGCTCACTTGGGTTCAGGCGAGGGGGTC